TACTACTGGTGTTGTAATATCATAACAAGTATTTTAAAAATATTTTTAACCGTAACAGGTTCAAAAACCCTCTGAGCAAACTCGTTTTTTTTGAAATGATAGAATTTTTCAAAATACAATTCATGCAAGAGATAAAAATATCTTGTTTTTAAAAGGACCTTTATAAACTAAAGTATTAGTTAAAAAAAAAAAATTAAACAAATTTATATAGGGCTGAAAATACCTTACGAATAGTGCTGTAGCTAGGGGGAAGAACCCCCCTTCCTCTCTCTAAACTGTCATTAGGGCGTTAAAATCTTAAAAACCTTCCATTACTAGGTGAATTACTAAAAAAAAAAAAGAAAGAAAGAAAAGGATTTTTATTACTTTTATTTTTTTTTTTTTTTTTTTTGGGGGGGAAGGGGAAGAGATCCTAAAAATTTAACAAATGGCCCTCATATTTGCTGATCCTGCAAATGCTTACAAGCAAAAAGCAAACTTCTTTGCAGGGCCTCCATGCTTACAAAATACTCATAAAAATCTATGTAACTAAGACATTGTAAAGATATTGTTTATCGAGTACTAAATTTTTTTGTTAAAACTCTTTAAAATTGCGTCATAGAAGTAAATATTGTTTAAACACTAAATTATTTTATTCCAATAAAACACATAGGCAGATCAAAGATTATTGCAGTGTCTCAGAAACTTGGCCTTTAAGTGGATGACTTCTTTGAAAGAATAGTTTAACTTTCGAAAGCGACCTTTTGCACACTTCATTTGTGTAATCAATTTCAAATGGACAATCAATCCAAATATCACAATAAATTGAATAATTTATCTCAGCAATTTATAATACTTGTCTTTTTATTTGCAATTTGTGTTGATTTAAACAAGTTTATAATTTTGAATAGCAAATTTTACTTTTCTTTGCACAGATTATTCCATAAGACATGGTATTGTCATTTTATTCCATTATTGGGCAATTTCAATTAAGACTTTTTTAATAACATTGGGCAATTTAATAATAATTGGGCAATTTCAATTAAGACTTTTTTAATTATAAAAATTATAAAAATTATATTAAAATTATAAAAAGATCCTAATACCTACTTTGTCTACTTACTTAATTTTAAAAAATCCATCAGTGGCTTCTCAATCAAATTATATGCGGTAGTGGTGTAGTGGTAAAACACTCGCTTCACAAGCGAGAGGTTCCGAGATTGATCCCCTCAATAATCAATTTTTCCAATTAGATTATTCTCTGATATCTTACAGATCTAAAATACAGTTTATATTTAAGTATAAATAATGTATAATAGTTAAACAGTATGAGTAAATTTTCAAACTTTTAACAATAGTTTAAAATGGATTTGTGCAGAGGATTTTTATATATATATATATATATATATATATATATATATATATATATATATATATATATATATATATATATATATATATATGTATATATATATATGCATATATATGTATATATACATATATATTTATATATATATACATACAGGCGCTGTGAGAGGGGGTGCAGTTGGTGCACCGCACCAGGGCTTATAAGAGTTTAGGGGCCCATAAATAATATAATATAGCTTTTATATAGAGCAAGCATAAGGCTTCTTTATATAGTTTTCCTAGCCAGTTATTTTGGAACAGTGTCAGCTCCAAGCTAAGTATTACTTCCAAATTTGCATTAACTACAGCATGAAGGTTAGCGAACGAGTTCCGATTGATGGAATTTATGTAACAGGATTCCAGATCATTAGAAAGTAATGCTATTCCACTTGTATAAATATTAGGCGTATTGTCATAACTTTGTGCCCTACAATCATGTAGGGCACAAAGTTATGACAATACGCCTAATATTTCAGGCAAATACAAAGTAGCACAATTTATAATAAAAGAACAGTGTCCTACTACTACGTTTTTTCCTTGTGGCTTTCACACACTTAACTTATGTGGTAGTGATGCTGCTGAATATATTCCAGAAGCCATAACCTACTTCGGAACTATGCAAACGATATACACCTTATTCAGTTGTAGTCCAAAGAGGTTGGAAATATTATCTAAGTATTTTGGTTGTTCCCAATTTAAAAAAATATTATCTAAGTGTATTGGAATTTTTAAATATAGAAAGCTTACTTTTACAATTAGTAACTATTTGTGACATTTGGAAAGCAATGTAGAATGAAGTTTGTTGCATTTAGATATAAAAATAAAATAGTTTAGGAACTATAGCAGAAAACAATTTCACAATAAAAATGTTAGTAAGATGAATGAAACAAGTAAATCTCCCTTGGAATCCCAATTCCGAAAGCAAATTTTTTATGTAGTATTGGATAATGTTGTTGGAGGACTTACAGTTTGTTTTAGCGCCGCAAAACAGATTTCTGAAAGCTTAAGCTTTCTTTGGAACTACCAGAAAATACTAGAGGAGGAATTAATACATGAAGTAGCTAATTTTAAAAAATATTCTAAAGATATAGTCAGTTTGTACAAAAGACTTTGTACAAAAAAAAAACACATAACAATTATTCACAAAGCCAATTTCGGGATAAAAGATTTGGGTGCACTGGAAATATTAAATGCTTTTGCAGAGTGCAAACTATAATGTATATTTCCAAACCAAAATGTTAGTTTGTGGATATTTCTTACAGCACCAGCAACAGTAGCGTCAGCTAAAAGGATCTTCAGCAAACTTAAACTTATTAAAAA